TTAAAAAAATGTGGTGTGCTATCTCATCATAAATGGAAACATAAGCTTTACAAACATAAAGTGACAGTCCAAGAATATTTTTTTTCCAATAATAAACGTCCAATCCAGTATATGTTGTGTTTTAATCCAGCAATAATCAACACGGTGGTTGACTTGTGGCCCCACTCCCTGCTCACCTTGACCATTGACCTATAGATTATAAGAGGCCAAAAACTCACTTTATAAGGAAAATGTTTCTCCAAATTTCTGATCCGTGACGTGTTCCTTCCTCATATTGTGCTTCTTTAGACTCCAGATCCATGCAAAATAAAACAAAAACATACCATAGTGCAACACCGTTTTATAGAACCAAAAATTAAACATGTTACAGTATCCACTCATATTAAACAAATGATATGTGACTCCGAATTATGGTGAACATATATGCATTGCTCCACCGTGCCAACAATATTGTGGTGTTTCCCAGCATCAGGTAGGTGCACCATGCACTCACCTTCTTCCCTGACAAACAAGTAGGTCATACACGCTTAGGGATGAAACCAGATTCTGCTTATCCACTGCCGATCCTTAGTAGCTACTTCAGTAGTTCTGGCCCTTTAAGGGAACATGCTCTCGGATATCCAGTTGAATTAAGGTGTATATGATCAAAAATAAAGGGAATAGATCATAGTGCAACCCCATAAAATATGAACACTTTATTCAAATAAAAAATGCACTTACAAAAGTAATAAATCAAACCCTAGTCCACCCTAGTGATGTCACTTCCGGTCATGCCCAAACCGGCACGAGTGATGTGAGGAACCATTTTGATTGATGGCTGTGATATGCTTTTGATTCATTACTTTTGTGAGAGCATTTTTTTTCTTGAACTGTCACTTTATGTTTCTAAAGCTTATGGTTCTATTTATGATGAGATAGCGCACCACATTTTTAAATGTATTCTCTCTAGCAGCAGATAGGAAAAACCTACAACTGCAGCCCCCAATTCAGCACTTGGAATCCTGTTCAGGCTGGTGATATGCAGCAGTGGTGGTCCACACTGGACAGTGAAGTGCACTCTTCAGTCTTTCTCGGGGCTACAGGAAGCTGTGTTCTGTATAGCCCAGGAAAATGCAGCTCTTTCCCCTACTCCTGGCAATCTCCTCCCTGGGGAATGTAGTGCAAAGCTCTTGATTACACAGTAGAGTTTCTCCTTAGGACTACAGTTCCCACAGTGCATTGCTGCCTAACTGTCTGTTAAACTCTCCCTGCTCAGCAGCACCCTGATTTTGCTGTACACAGGGTGCAGCTACAGAGAGAAGCTACAGCCAGTGTTTCCCTCACTCACATTCGTAGCCAAATACCTGGCTATATATACAATATATATAATGGGGTGGATTTAATGAATGCAAATTGACTGTGTACTTTGCAAGTGCAGTTGCACCCATTTTCCCCAGAGCTTAGTAAATGTGGTAAAGCTCTGCTGATTTCCATCATCCAATCATGTACAAACAAAAAATGCTGTTTTTTTTTCTTGCACCTGATTGGGTATTCTTTAAAAAAGTGACGCTTTACCACATTTACATTTACCCTAGGTTTGGATCTGTGCGGGTGGTGCCATTGCAGATCCGCACCACCCGCACAGAGAAATGCGGACCCTCGGGCGGGTGCCATTAGTTCTAATGGCACGCCACCCGCACTGGAAAACGCAACTGTACTGGTAACTGGGGTTCCCGTGTGGACTGCATTTTCCAAAGCATGCTGCATGTCATGGGCATGGGAGTCCATTCAAATGATTGGGCTCTCGTGCCCGTGCAAAACGCGGCCCTCACGGCTGCATAGATGTGAACCGGGGGTTACTAAGGAACTGCAACTGCATTATATTTGCCTTTAGTAAATCCACCCAATATGTTTTCTAAATACAAAACATACTGTGTGTAATGTGCCTGCTTAATCAGACCTGAATATTTTAGAAATAAAATGGCTGTTCTATTTTCCCCTATACTCCCAGTGTGACATCTGTGTGGGTGCAAATGCGTGTTCCTGAACTCACACTGTCTGCATTCAAGACCATGAATCCACACTCATATGGCTGTCATATAGGGAGCAGTAGCCTTGTCCATGCAGCCACTGCATCCCAATTGACATGAATGGGACCGCCAACAAGGGGATGAACAGAACACCTGTGCATCCGCATGCAGGGAAACATGGCTCTCACCCAGGCTACACATTGATCTGCCCGATGTGAATGAAGCTTTGAGAACATACAGTAATTGATTGTTTGAATTGTTTTTTTACATACATTTCGGAAGTACTAACAATAAATGTAAGGGATGCACAAGATTAACCGTTTCAATACAGGGCACTTTTACCCCCATCCTGCCCAGGCCAATTTTCAGGTTTCAGCGCTCTCACACTTTGAATGACAATTGCGTAGTCATACAACATTGTTCCCAAACTAAAATTTTGTCATTTTCTTCACATAATTAGAACTTTCTTTTGGTGGTATTTAAGCAACACTGGGGTTTTTATTTTTTGCTAAATTAACAAAAAAAAAGACTGAACATTTTGAAAAAAAAAAACACGTTTTTCTTTGTTTCTGTTATAAAAGTTTGCAAATAAATAATTGCTCTTCATAAATTTAGGCCAAAATGTATTCTGCTACATGTCTTTGGTGAAAATAACCCAAATTAGGATGTATTATTTAGTTTGTAGGAAAGTTATAGAGTTCACAAACTATGGGATATATCTGAAAATTGATCAATCCTGAAGTATTGATGGCCAATCTAATTTCTTGAGGTCCAAGAATGTCAGAACAGTACAGATATCCCCCAAACGCCCCCTTTTTGCAAAGTAGACAGTCCGACGTATTTCATAACAGGCATGGCAAGTTTTTGAAGTTGTAATTGTTTTGTCATAATTTTTCAGAATTGAAGAAATCAAAAAAAATATTTTTACTATTTTTTTTAACTTACTGTCACCAGTGCAGTACAGCGTCATCATATATAACTGGCATGGCGGTGATTAGGGACACTGACTGGTGACAGCATGAAAAAAAAAAATTGATCTTTTTTTTAATTTTTTTATTACATTTTTTTTTCTCTTTTTTTTAAGATTTTTTTTCATATTTCACTATGACCAAAGTAGTATAATGTTACCATAGTAACATTGTACTACTTTGGGGAAGTGATCAGTATTTTTTTTTTTTTTTTACACAATTTTCTTATAACAAAGAATATCTTTGCTATAAACAAGCATTTACCTGAATGAAATCAATTAATTCAGGGGGTTTTTTTTGTGCTTAACTGTGATTTGGCCACAGCTAATCACATGACACAGTTGGGCTGTGATTGGCCCAGCTTTTGCATGTGATCGCTGTGACCATTCACAGCTAGCCACACTTGAATACAATGGATGGCATGAAAGGAAGCCATCCATTGTATACAACTGTCATGTGACCTGCTGTGATTGGTCACAGCAGGTCACATGGTACTGGCAACGGGGCCGGTACACAGATCTGTCATCGGCCGTGTCCGAGGTACACGGCCGGTGACAGATCGTGCCGCTGGCTTCCTCCCTGAGGGACGAGCTGCTCTCCCAGCCGCCTTTGTGCTATTGGCCGGGTGGCAACTAGTTAAAGTGGAACTTCACTCTCTCAATCACCATGGACTATTTCTAATCCTTATGCTGCTAGCATTAGTAAATGGATAGAAAAGTATATCATATTTACTTGTTTTAACCTTTTTTTTTTTTTTTTGTATTCCTTCATTTTCTTCCTGGTTTCTATGCCTAGGCAAATGATAGGAGATTTACTAAAACTGGTTGACTCAGAATCTTGGGCACCTGTGCATGGTAGCCAATCAGCTTCTAACCTCAGCATGTTCAGTTAAGCTTCAGCAATAAAACCTGGAAGCTGATTGGTTTTTATGCAGAAGTGGACAAGATTCTGAGTCAACCAGGTTTAGTAAATAAACCCCATGGTGTCACACATCCCAGGAGTATTCAGGAGAGGGAAGGGAGAATTCTCAGCTCAGCCAATGCCTGAGTAAGGACAGATGGATTCCAGGAAGTAACTGCTACATCATCTGCCCTTACTCAAGATGGCCACAGCCAGAAATGCCAGGAGGTATTTTTCAAAATGATTTCTCAGCAAAATAAAGCATGGAGACATGGATGGATGGAGGAGTTTTTTTTTTAATATTAAAACTGAATTATATAGAATTTTTGGTTTGTGGTGCTTAAATGCAAACCAGTTCCACTTTAAAGCTGAATTTGAGAAAGATCTTAAGAAGCACCACTTAATGTAATTATATATTTTTTAAACTGCATTATATTTATACAGAGAACTAGCATAAATACCTAAATCTGTCCTGATAAAAGTCTACTGTAATTGCCTTCATAGCTGCATTCACACTGGGAATGGGAAGGCCAGCACTTTGAGCCAAAGAGAGCTCCATTGTTTTGGATAGAGCTGTCAGCCAGTAGAAAATATAGTTTAATGACCTCATTACCGTGATGATTCTCCAACATTGTCCAATCACAGGTTGGGAACCTAGCTGTATTGCTTACCTGCAGTAGGGAAAAAAAGTAGATCACTGACCTGGCTATGCTGTTTGGCAGGATTGTCTGAATCTCAGGACTAGCTGTATGGAGTTATAAATATGGAGGCTGCCATTGCTGATCTTTTTATGAAAATTATATTTTTCTGTTTGTCTCTGGCTTCAGTTCAGAGACAATGATCTAGGAAAGTGAAAGTCTAGATACAGTTTACACAGGACTAACAACTCTCCCCTGAAGCCCTAGATTTAAAACTTCTACTAATACAATACAAGATTTCATTTTTGAAAGATGATAAAAGTATACAGTATTCTGTAACAAATACTTTAAGTGTTTTTTATGTGATAACTCAAAACAGATCACAATATACAATCTTGTTTTTCATCATCTCCTTAGTTTGCTTGTGTACGGGTTAAGAATAAATTGGCACATAAATCCAATGCTGTATTACCTCTATATTTCAGCTGCTGATACCTCATGTGAGATTCACTATAGCAATCAATACAAAGGCACGGGAACAGCTCATTTGTGAATGTGGTCTGTTTGACAAGGTAAGGATTCCTTTTCATCTTATTCACTAAGTATATTCACTCAAAAGTCATAAAATACCTGTATTATGGTTGCAAAAAAAAAAATTCTTAAATTGATATTAAACCTTCAATTTTTAAGTATTTTCACCAGCTGATTTAATCGCTTACTGAGCATGCAACTTCTTTATTTTTTCATCCTTGCCAGTTTCTTCCAGTTTAAACTGGTTCCCTGACTGCTGCCCCAGTGTTTCCTATTTCAGGGTGACTCCTCTTGCAGCCTCCAATGGAGCCTCCCTTATATGCAGGGGCTAGAGCATTGTCTCCCTACAGGGTCTTCAATAAAAACTCTCAAATGGCCATTATTCTTTTCCAAGATCCCTGCTGTGCTACACACTGGGCTGGAGAAAAAAGATTCAGGCTTTGTTCAGCTGTTGGTACTGGCTGTAGCTGCCACTGGCTGGGTTACATGAGCACTGTCATCCATTAGAAAGTATGTTTTGAGAGAGCCACTGATTGCCTGGTCAGTGTTCAGATAACTCCTCACCCCCTAACCCTGCAGGCACCACAAATTCACCAAGGTTGGATTTTTTATTGATTCTTGAAGACAAGTTTATGGTACCTTGTTCATAGAGTCACTATTGTAATAAGGATTATCACTTTTAACCTCTCTTAAACTGATAAAAAAAAATCTTCCTAATGTAGCTGCCATCCCCTTGTCCATCATACTGTCCTTGAGGTTCTAAGTTAATTTGTGAAATGTTTATAAAGGCCTTGGTACATTTCAACATGGTAATCAGATGTAACACCCTTCAGGTTCAACTAGGGGGAGTTAGTTTATTTTAAAATGGGTGTGAGTCAGCCAGGTTACTTTAGGCCCGTGCTGAGGGCTCTACAGGTCAGTTCTCTGAAACCTACCCCTGCTCTAGAAAACTGGAGAAATTTATAGAAGTCAGCTGGTGGGGGTGAGGAGGAGCTGGCCTGCATATTTGAGGGTCCTTGGCCAATCCCTAAGTAGGAAGCTTGGCATAGTGCCAGGAAAGCCCTTAAATATGATTGAACCTGATCAGCAGGGTCAGTCAGTGTCAGGTGGAAGATCGAATGAAGGCTGGAGTGTGAAGTCGGGGAAGGGGCCCAGGGAAGGGTCCCACCTACTGGCAGGGTGCTGAAAAGGAGGATCTTTCTGCGTCAATGTCTCCAGAGAAAGGACAGCCTGTGGATCAGGGAAGAAGCCCGCCAAGCGTAAGGCCTGAATGCAGCCACCAACCCACTAAGCTTGCAGGAGAGTGAGTAATCCTACATCCCCTTGGTCGGATAAGGGGAGAGGGCAGTCAGGTGGAGAACCCAACTAACTCCTCATCTGGGACTGTTTCAAGTTGACAGCTTCAGGGTCCCCTTGCCCAGGGAATTCCCCCAGGCAGCTGAGTGAAGATGGGGATTCATCTAGGGTTTGAGGAGGTACACAAGAGAGCTTTGGAGTCTCTTAAAGGAGAGACTATTTTTGATCCACATTATTTTGTACATAGTTGTCCTCGAGTTTGCAGTTTTCTTTGGCATCCCATACACCCCTCAACCCTATCCAAGTTGTAAACTTTTGGAGGTGTATCTTCAAGGCTGCCTCCAGGAGAGCCTGTTTTTGCTTTGCTTTTTACCGTATCTCCCACAGTTAGGAAACTCAGATAGTTTAGAGTTAGGGACCACATTCATTAGAGGTGCCTTGACATGATAGCGTGGCTTCCACTTGTATTTGCAAACGTATGAAACAAAAAACTCTGTTTTTAACCTGAGTAGTTAAAATGATTGATTGGGGCTTTTTACTGGCAAGCTTAAAAGTGCCTGAGGACTCCTTTGTATTTTTCTATTAGAGAAATTTTCCAAAGGGAAAAAAAACTGATAGAAAATTTAACTCTGCCCCCACTATATTCAAAACAAAACAGAAAAAAATCTATTGGGAGATAGGCAATACAAGTGGGGTAAATAAATTTCAGAAAGATACACAGAACCTACTTTTAGACCAGAGAAGAACTGCTCTTCCGATGAATTCCATGGCTTATCACAATGGCCCCTTTACTGTTTATATTTCCTTTTATTACAGGCCAATGCTACAGGAGGTGGTGGACATGTCGAGCTGGTACTGCGAGCCATGAAGGAATTCACTTTTGAGTCTCTTTGTTTACCATCTGCAATAAAGATGAGAAAAATGGAAAACAAGGAAGAGATCCCATATTATTTCTACAGAGATGATGGAATGAAGGTCTGGGATGCCACACTGAAGTAAGAAAATTTCAAACCTCTTATCACTGTTTAGCGGGTTCTTTTTTCATTTCTAGAATCTAGTGCTGTTTTTTTTAATGTTGCTGCTTGAAAAAAAATGTGTACTAAAAGCAAAACACAAATTGACAAACATCAGAATCTGTTTCTGATTTCTTCTATCTTGCACAACTAAATTTACCAACATTGCAGCCTATCCTAAAAAATAAAAACAATCCACTCAAATAATATCCATTCCATCAGGACCTCTACTTAAAATAATTGTTGGTTTCTCTTGAACTTCTAGCTGCCTGGCTTTGATACTGGCTACATTAAAGCATTTCTAGCCCCCATAGCCCCCATAGAGTTGTAAGATATACCAACACAAATGTGGTGGCTGCATAGGTCTTCTTTTAGCAGGATTTTTTCCTCTTCATTTTAATATAGTGATTTTGTCAGTAACACATTTTAGTTCTAGTGTGATAACGCTTTCTCACTGTAATGTATCTATTGAGGAGCAGCCCTGTCACTCTAGGACAGGACTCCGGACCATTTTCCCCTTTCCTCCTCCCCATAACAAGAGATGGATGTAATACAGCACCCAGAGATAGCTGGGAACAATGTAACTGATAAAAGTGCAGACCAGGAAGAAAGCACAGGATGTCATCTGCTTACAAATAGCCAACAAGATCAACAGGTATTTTATGCACTTACTGAACAGATACTGTATAACAAAATGCAAATGAAAAAACAAAAAGAGGGCGCACCGACCTAGTGCATTACCTTTTAAAAATATTTATTGAGAGAAAAAGGTAAGTAACAAACTCACAATGGGCATAAAAGAACACAGGCATATCACAATGAACAAGGTGTTCAATCTAAACAGCATCTGAGTTCATACATTGGAACCCTGGATGACCAACTGACGCGTTTTGAAATGGTGCGCCCTCTTTTTGTTTTTTCATTTGCATTTAGTGACTTTGGACCGCCCTGGTCTGTTGAGGGCAGCAAGCAGTGCATATTCCAGAACGTTCATATTGGTTCTGCTGAGTCCATTCCCAGCACAGGAGAAAAGTGTTTGCTGTGTTGGATTTACTGTATAACAAAATGCCCTAATGATAGCAGACCAGAGGTGAACAAAAAAGAGATCGTTGTTTTAAAGGTTTTTATACGTCTTGGAGTTGATTTAGGCAAATAAGCTGTTCACTTTGCAAGGGAAGTTACACTTTGCAAAGATATTTTCTCCAGAGCATAGTGATTAAGGTGGAGCTCTGCTGATTTTCATCATCCAATTATGTGCAGCAAAAATGAAGTTTTTTATTGCACATGATTGGGTATTCACCACATTCATTAAAGTAATTTTAAAGGTCCTCCTGTTGGGTGCCCCCACAGCAAGCAGCTTGCTATAGGGGCACCCGCTGCTCTGTGCGTCCATTCACACATGGAGCTGTGACTCAGCCCCCACCCCCTCTCTCTTCTCATTGGCTCACTGGCTGTGACTGACAGCAGTAAGAGCCAATGGCTCCCGCTTCTGTCTCAGCCAATGAGAAAAGGGAGTCCCAGGATAGCTGAGACTTCAGTGCACATCGCTGGATCGAGAGGGGGCTTAGCTGAGTAGTAGGAGGGGCTGGTGGGGATGCTGCTCACAGAAGGTTTTTTACCTTCGCGCATAGAATGCATGAAGGTAAAAAAAACCTTGCGCCTTTAGAACCACTTTCAGCCCTTGCAAAATGCAACGTCCCCTGCTGAGTGCACAGTTTATTTGCCTTTAGTAAATCAACCCCTTTAACACTTTCACTGCCATCAATGTGAGGTTCACGACAGTGACAGTGGCCTCTTTTACATACACCCCAAGCGGCTCCATTTGCTACAGTGGATTTTAAAGGAGACATTAGGAGTCTATAAACTTACTTATTATTCTCCAGTGTCCCTGCTTTCAGAACATAGATGTAGCTCACTCTTAGCGTGGGATGCTGGGTACATTTAGCTTTTAGTTTCTTCTGTAATCAAAAATGCAGTGATCATTTGTCTTGCTCTGTTCAGGATTTCACAGGTTGGGGGATTGATTGCTACCCCCTGACTCTGGAAGAAGCTTCCAGAGCTTAGGGAGAGGGATGAAAGCAACAAGCTTGAACATTTATCATGCTCCAGCCAATCCCTGGAGAAGAGTTTCCAGAAGGAGTTGGAAAGGTGATAAATAGTCTGAATCACTGAAGTGCTGGGTTCCTTCTCCTGTCTCCACTGACAGCGTGTGCCCCAGTGATAATCAGGAACCAATCAAAGCAGTTCCCTGTCATATGATCACTATGCCAGCTAAGACCTAATGATTATATGCAAGCTGGAGGCTTTGTTGAAATAAAACTCATAGTTATTGGATGGTTAACCAATGCATGCTGACACGGCTATATTTTGCATGGGTATGTAGACATCAATGGTGTCTGGTCATTAAAGGGTTAAAGAGTTTTCAGCTGGTCACTGTTATTTCATTTGAACTTCTGCATTTAGCAATACTATTGCAGTTCTTCCTGTTTCTAATACATTTTATCTCTATTGCCCTGAAGCACGTACACATTACACATTCATTGCAGATCCAGTTATTTTCCATTGTTTTTTTTTGCATCATGTAACTATTCTAATGACTGCATTTTATTAAAATATTAGATTTACATCCAGCCATGTACACATAAAACTTTTCCAGCAGAATTTAATAGAGGAGTGCAAGTTGTTAACACTATCAGTGCAGGTAGAAAGGAGCAAGGTTTGCCATTTGCCCTGAAACATACTGGTGGTTTTTACAATGCAATGACAAGTCCTGCTAGCCATAATACTTTGGATTACAACAGCTTAAAGTATTTATCAACTTTTGCACCCAATTGGAATAACACCTACTTTATATCTGTTACATGTTTCCATTAACATAGCACTTAGAAATTGCTGCTATTTTCCCTTTGTATGTAGCATTAAGAAAGGGAACATTTGAACATTGTCTGTCCCAACAAATGACCAAAGATCTCAGGGCTTAACATTGTGTGTTAATGAGAGGTAGCCCAGCCTGTTACTACTTTGGCCCTCCACTTTCACTTTCAAATTGTTTAGGTTAGCAAAAGACAGCGGACAGGGCTGACACCACTAAGTGCACAAAAATACTGTGTTGACAGCAGGGGCAGACTGACCATTTGGAAACTCGGGCACTGCCCGAGGGCCCGGGGTCAGTAGAGGGCCCCATGAGATGCCCCTGGTACCTTTTTCATAGGCTTTTTTGAGTTTGGGCAAGGACACAGGGGCCCCATGATCCCCTATTGCCCGGGGGCCCCATGAGTTGTCAGTCTGCCCCTGGTTGACAGACACAACAGGACTTAGGAGTTGAGTGCAGGTCAATATGTATTTTTTCTTTTCTTGCAGGGCCTTTAAGGGATAAATCACAAGGAAATATGCAGGTATCACAGAGTAGTACTGCATGCATTTTTTTTGTTTGTTTTTTTTATGTATGCTTTAAGAAATATCGCTTAGGTATAACAATTCTAGCAGCTGTATGAAACTATTCTTTCACAAAGGCAAACATGGGATATTAGGTAGCATATTACAGTACTACCAAACAGTGCTAAAAAGGCATACATAGTTCTTTGATCATATCTTGAGACAATCTGACTCTGTAAGTGTCAGTAGATGCAATTTATATCATATTATGAACCCCCGCCCCCTTAAAGTATAATTATACCTTGTAAATTAAAACATACAAAAGTCACAAATGTGATATGAATGATGTGAATTCAGTAAAATATTGTTCCTATCTTAAATGAATAAATCACAAAATACATTTATTTCCCTCTTTTGAGTGTTTTGTGCTTCTCACTATAAACACTAATTAATGCACTAATTATTAGCTATGAAAATACACTCATTACTTTCAATAAAAAAAATAACTATGAGTAGGTCACAAAACAATCAGTAAATATCCACTTCCTGACTGTACTTGGCAGAAAAATCATTAGGGAGGCAAACATATATCTGTGTGATTTTATTAAAATAATACTCAAAGCGGCATTAAACCCCAACACAAACATTTATTATATTTGCAGCTTACCATTTAATTGATGTGATTAGTTTTCTTTTTCAGGCTTTCTTTCCTTGATTTTCACCTGGTGAGCTGGCCAGTAATTATGTGTTTTTCAACAGAACAAGCTGTTGCGTAGACATAGCAGTTGGGGGAGGGGGGGACAAACCATTTATGGTGTGTTTACAGTGACTAGATTTTATTTATTTATGTAAACCCATTATCTCAAAAGAAAAAAAAACAGTTTGCTTTAATTGCTTATGCTGTAAAGTTTTAGCTGGAGTTTGGCTTCAAATTGTTAGTGTATCTAAATCTGCTAGTACACCTAACACTCCCTTCCACCCAAATTAAAAATGCTGATTAGAATGATTAGAATGCTACTTTCCAAAGTACTCCTCACTTTCAGGACTATGTTTTCATGCATAGGACATGTAACCAAAGCTAAGTAACTCAAATATGCATGAAAACATAGGAAGTGGGGTGCAGAAAAATGGCAGCAGATGTTCTGGACTAATGAGTAAAATTTTGAAATAGTTGGCTGTAGCAGAAAGCAGTTTGCTTACCAAAGGGCTGGAGAGCGGTACTATAATGTATGTCTTCAGGCAACAATTAAGCATGGTGGAGGTTCCTTACATTTTTGGGACTGCATTTCTGTAAATGGAGTTGGAGATTTGGTCAGGATCAATGGTGTCCTCAGTGCTGAGAAATATAGGCAGATACTTATCCATCATGTCATACAATCAGAGAGGCATGTGATTGGCCCCAAATTTATTCTGCAGCAGGACAACGACCCCAAACATACAGCCAATGTCAGTAAGAACTATCTTTAGTGTAAGGAAGAGCAAGGAATCCTGGAAGTGATGATTTGGCCCCCACAGAGCCCTGATCTAAACATCGAGCCTGTCTGGGATTACATGAAGAGACAGAAGGAGATCTGTGGTTAGTATTCCTAGATGTTTGGACCAACCTACCCGCAGATTTCCTTCAAAAACTTTGTGCAAGTGTACCTAATAGAAATGGTGCTGTTTTGAAGGCAAAGGGTGGTCACACCAAATATTGATTTGATTTGGATTTCTCTTCTGTTCACTTTGTTAATTGATAAAAATAAATTGTTTACACCTCTATTTCTGAAAGCATTTTCAATTTACAGCATTTTTTGACACTTGCCTAAATGTTTTGCACAACGCTGTATATTTAAATTATATTTTCTACTAGGGTTATATGATATCAACAATATGTAATTTAATAAGAAACCATGACTTGCTATTTTTGAACAGCTTTGCAAAAGATGTGGTGGATATTTACTATGACAGCGATAAGACTGTGTCTGAAGACAGCGAACTTCAAGCATTTGTGAAGGATGTTTATGTCTATGGACTGCGGGACAATGAGGCTTCTGGTAAATTTCCAGTATAAAAGTGTGCGTGCGTCTTATACAATTATGATTGAAAGATCATTCCCATGTCAAGGTTCATTTTGAGAACTCCCCCCTTTCCTCATCCATATATCTTAAAAAAAACCACACGACAATACAAATACAACGATACTTGAACAAAAATGAACTGCATTCTCAGGTTGCCTAAAAGAAGCATTTACTACTCCAATGCCACAAAAAAGCCTGGTGAGGCACGTCAAGGTATTGTTGGGCATATTGTAACCGGGCATTTTTGTAGCATTGGTGCAGTAAAGGCTTTTTTTGACAACTTGACCATGCAGCTCATTTTTGTTCATTTTTGAATTTTCCATTTCTTAATAAGTAATTGAATAGTACTGATTGGCATATTAAAGGTTTTGGATATATTCTTATATCCTCTTCCATCTTTATAATGTATCATTACCTTATTACACAGGTATTTTGACAGTTCTTTTCTGCTCCCCATGGCTCACGATCTAGCCTGCTCAGTGCATCCATGAAAGAGCTAACAAACTCATTGACTATTTATACACTTAAACTAACTGCAATTTAAAAAGACACAGATGTGGGAAATTAACCTTTAATTGTCATTGTAACCTGTATGTGTCACCTTGCATGTCTGTACCAAAGCCAAACATTCCAGGGTATGCAAACTTTTGATCATGGCCATTTGGGTGATATCTGTTATCATTATGATTTAAAAAGGAGCCAAACAACTATGTTATAATAAATGGCCTCATCTAATCACTATCGTTAAATAAAAGACAGGTTTTTTTACATGATCACTAATATTTTCAAAATCAATGCCAAAATATCATGATTTCTCCTAGGGTATGCAAACTTTTGAGCACAACTATATATGGTCCACTATTAGGGTTGGGCTTTATGTTCGAGTCGAACATCAGTTGTTTGTGTGTTTAGCAAGCCCCGCCCCACAGTGCACTGCACCCGGACAATGCATTGTGATTGGCCAAAGCATTCCACATGACCTGTGGTCAGGTTCATTGCTTTGGCCAATTACAGTGCATGATGACTTCACAAGAAGGGGGGGCCACCTGGTGGCTACAGCCAGATGACCCCGCCCCCTTGTGAGGTCATCACAGTATTTAAGAACTGTCGGGTCGGCACTGCTGTTAGAGACAGGAGCCAGCATCCAGAGTGGAGCAGGGTTTTTTTCTTTTTTCAGGTAGGCGGTGGTGGCAGGCATCGTGATTGATGTTGGATCTACTTCAGCGGACATTTTTTTATTTTTGTTTTTAATAAAGGGCTTGTCAAAGACTGTCATTTTTTGCACTACACTTTTTTTTTTTTGTGAATGAGTAGTGGTAACATGTACCCCATACTCATTCACATGGGGGGGCCAGGATCTGGGGACTCCCTTATTAAATGGGCTTCCAGATTCTGATAAGCCCCCTGCCCGCATACCGCCACAACCACCGGCCACGTCTGTGGGGAAGAGGCTCCCCTGTCCCAAAGCACCTGCCCATCTTGAGGGCATGTGGCCTTGTATGGTTCAGGAAGGGGGGGCTCACTCTTTCCCCCCCCCTTTCCTGACCTGCCGGGCTGCATGCTTGGATAAGGGTCATTTTTTTATTTTTTTTGGTATGGGGGTTCCCTTCAAAATCTATACCAGACGGCCCCACGCCATTTTTTATCAAAATATTTAATTGCTGGCAGTTCTTTTTACATTCAGCTGTCAGTGGGGTACCCTCTGACAGCTAAAACATTAAAGAATGTTTTCATTACTAAAATACCGTATGAAATAATAACATAACTAACGCTGTACTTTAGTAGCTGTGTAGTATCTCACCGCAGTAAACGTATGCGGTAAGATGCTGCTTAGTTAATTGACCCTGTTCAAAGTTGGCGATCGAACTTTTATTAGGTTTCAAATGTTTGATTACAAACCAAATGGGGGTGTTCGGACCATCACTATCCGCCATGATGCATTAGCACACATGCATTATCATGCAGTGATCTAAATAGGATGCCCATGTACCTCAACTGACAAAAATAAACATGCAGCATGTTTGTCAATTCACTGCTCTATAGAGCAACACAATGTGTAGTATGAACTTGGTGCATTGGCAGCTAATTCACTTCTTGTTGTAGTGGCATTGACAGTGAATGGCCCTGCACTGCATTTTAACGCACACTGTGCTCTGAAAGTGAGGGAAAATCACTTCCCTCGTGACAGCTGTCTAAGAGGGGATTTACCTTTCTTTGGAGAGGTTTCCTTACTTCCTGCTGTGTCAACAGAAAGTGATGGGAAATCTCTCAAATGGGATAAAGATGACAAAAATATGACAAGGATTCTACCCATTCCCTACAGCATCCAGAATGAAAAATGTTCCACGTTCGCTGTGTGGATTACAGTAGTAAATTCCCGTTTACTTGGAATACCCAACTACAGTATGTACAGTTTATATAGGTAAATAGATATTGTCTTTTCAGGTGACTGGATATCTGAAAATAATATTCACTTAATTTATTGAGCGAAGGTTGTTGGCTTCTTAAATAATTCAGCCTGTAAGTCGTATCTTGTCTGCTATTCTTATGGCTTGATTCCATAAGAATATTATATTGTTTTTGACAGTATAGAGAAATTGTTGACACAACTTCAAAAGAATACATTTTAATAAAAATCTTTAAGATCTCTATGGCATGTATAAACTTAAAATAACATTATACATTTCCAATATATTGTTCCAATAAAATATGTATAATACACATGCATCCTACATACTGTATTATTGTTGGCTGTCTTTATAGGTTTTCCAAAAACTCTCAAGACTAAAGAAATGTTGGTTGAGTATCTCACACTTGTCATCTTCACCGCATCTGGGCAGCATGCTGCAGTTAATTTTGGCCAGGTATGTGTTGGTATAACCACTTCAAACACTTTCACCCCCTTCTAGTCCAGGCCAGTTTTCAGCTTTCAGCACTATCACATTTTGAGTGACAATTACTCATGCAACACTGTACCCATATGACATTTTTATCTTTTTTTTTAGACAGATAGACATTTCTTTTGGTGGTATTTGATCACCACTGGGTTTTTTATTTTTTGCTATATAAATGAAAAATTAACCAAAAACTTTGAAGAAAAAACCTTTGCTTAGTTTTTTTGTTATAAAATTTAGCAGATAAATAATTTTTCTTCATTAATTTGGCCAAAATGTATTCTGCTACATTTTTGGGGTAAAGATAACCCAAAACTGTGTATATTATTTAGTCTGTGTGAAAGCTATAGAGTCTAAAACTATGGGATATATATTTGAAAAATGATCAGTTAAGACCCTAAAATGCCAGATGCTGGTATGACGTATGGCAGTGATATGGATACTGGTATGAGTTATGGCAGTGATCAGGACACTGGTATGGTAGTAGTCAGGGTGCTGGTAAAGGGTATGGTGGTGATCAGGATGCTGATATAGGGTATGGCAGTGAGCAGAACGCTGGTATGGGGTATGGCAGTGATCAGGGTGCTGGTATGGGTAGTCAGGGTGCTGGTAAAGGGCATGGTGGATCAGGATGCTGATATAGGGTATGGCAGTGATCAGAACGTTGGTATGGGGGGTATGGCAGTGATCAGGATGCTGGTATGGAGCATGGCGGTTATCAGGGCACTCGTATGATTTGATCAGGGTCGTGATTTGGTTCACTGCTGTATCCTCTGCAGCATCTTATTTCTAGTAGTAAAACCCCAGCCTGTACTTTTTGTCTCTAAATTTGGGCCTAGCCTTGCTCAGTAAAATTCATCCAGCAAATTTTCAAATACAGTAGTTTTGGGCCAGCTGGGCAAAAATAAATGTTCTTTATGCTATTTTCTCAACTAAACAGTTAGTGTTGTTTTAGTCTCAGTTCACACTACTGCGACCTGAAAATTGCGCAACCTTTAGTGCGACTTTGCCAGGCAACTTGAGTACTACTTTGAAGTGACTTTGAAACAACTCTGAAGCAACTTTCAGGGAATGCCTGGGTAATCTTCCTATAAAGTCGGATCCAAATCACATCAATATAGATGAGGATCTGACTTGGAGGCAACTTCCATTAAAGTCTATAGGCACAAGTCAGATAGAAGTAGCCTTGAAGTAGTACAGGAACTTTTTCTAAAGTCTAAGTGACTTCAGTAGTGCTAATTAAGATGGCTCTCATTGACTAACATGGGATCTCACATGTCATGTGACTTGGGGTCTCACAAGTCAGATCCCAAGTTGTGGCAATGTAAACCAAGCCTTAAGGGCACCAAAAAGTAACAATACAAAATAAAATTTTAAATGTTTATTGTTACTGTTTTAAAAACACTGCACATAAAAACAAGACAAAGAATGGTACATAATTATGAATTAATCCACAGTGAGACACATAGACATAGTTAATGCTTGTGAACTCCCCAACATGTTTCAATTCTTGACATGAACCTTCACAATAACTACAAACATTATACAGTAGCTGGACAGTAAGCAGTTTGGCTAGAGTGTAACACAAGAGAGAGAGACAAGGCAGGTTTTATCATTAGAGTGTATTTTTTTTAATTGCTAATTTTTTTGACTGACAAAGAATCAGAATAGGCTGCAGACATAGTGACAGAAAGCAGAATTTACCATGCAGCAAACATTAGAAATTTAGCAGCTGAAGTCTATCTGTGGAAATACACGGCTCAAAAAATTAAAGGAAAACTTTTTGATCAGAAATGAAACAAAAAATGGTGAAGCGCTATGCAAATGCAATGAATAAATAAATAAGTGTATGTACACAAAATTATGTGAATAAATATATATACATGAATATGCAAATTAATAATAAATAACTATACCGTGAGACTCCAATCCTAGAAACAATATAAAGTGACACGTGCTCAAAACAGCACCACACTGTGTAAAATCAGGTGCCTGGTCTGCCAATTAATATGTATACACACCAGGTAAAGTGAAAATATATAACAAAACAGATATCCACAATTAATATATCAAGAGATAAGTGCAAAAAAACACAAATGGTAGTAATAAATAAACAACAATTGGATAAAATAATTGGTGCAAACATCAATGGTGATCAGTCCAACACAAAGTGCTTCAATCTTCAGTGTACACTTATAAGTGCTCTCAGTGACACTGTTATGTGACTTATCCCACAGTAGCTAAAGTGCCTCCTCACCTCCCAACATTGACCCCTAAGGGCCACAACACCTTAGGTAATCCTCAAACCAGACGGCATCCCAAAATATGGCTCCACTGACTCCAATCGGGCTCCGCTCCTAACTCAACGCATCACATATCCCTTTCACAAAAATAAGGCTCAGACATGCATGAAAGGGGTAAAGAAAAAGACCTCCATAGTGTAATACCGCTTTTAATCTTCAAAAAAAGCCAAATAAATGGACACTCACATTAAAATCTTGTCAGTACAGCAGTTCCCATGTGCTATGGGTGTACTAGAGGACTCGGGTGTACCAAGATGGCGTCAGGAACCGGAAGTGCGTCTCCACTGTTACCAGAAGTGCATCACTGCGCATGCGCTCTACGCGTTACACCACAATCAAACACATGGCTTCCTCAGGAAGCGTTTTTTTGAAGATTAAAAGCAGTATTACACTATGGAGGTCTTTTTCTTTACCCCTTTCGTGCATGCCTGAGCCTTATTGTGTGAAAGGGATATGTGATGCGCTGAGTTAGGAGCGGAGCCCGATTGGAGTCAGTGGAGTCGGTGGAGCCATATTTTGGCGCCGTCTGGTTTGAGGATTGCCTAACGTGTTGTGGCCGTTAGGGGTTGATGTTGGGAGGTGAGGAGGCACTTTATCCACTGTGGGACATGTCACATAAGAGTGTCACTGAGAGCACTTATAAGTGTACACTGAAGATTGAAGCACTTTGTGTTGGACTGATCACTATTGATGTTTGCACCAAATTATTTTATCCAATTGTCGTTTATTTATTACTACCATTTGTGTTTTTTTGCACTTATCACTTGATATATAACAAAACAGATATCCACAATTAATATATTTTCACTTTACCTGGTGTGTATACATATTAATTGGCAGACCAGGCACTGATTTTACACAGTATGGTGCTGTTTTGAGCACGTGTCACTTTATATTGTTTCAAGGATTGGAGTCTCACTGTATAATTATATATTAATTTGCATATTCATGTATATATATTTATTCACATAATTTTGTGTACATACACTTATTTTTGCACATCCTGGGGTATAGGGAATAGGTGACAGCAGCTGGCTTATTTATTAGGGAATCTCATCGTTGAGCGCAGGACGATATTTCTATTTTACTTTTTAATCAGAGTATAGAATCAAATCAATTAACTTCCTGGGATATTGATCTGGTCAGTTAAGTAGCAGAGAGGGTTGTTAATTATTTTCAGCTGCTTTGGTGTTAATGAAATTAACAACAGGTGCACTAGATGGGCAACAATGAGATGACCCCCAAAACAGGAATGGCTTTACAGGTGAAGGCCATTGACATTTTTTTACCTACTAATTTTTTCTGACTGTTTTTCACTAGTTTTGAATTTGGCTAGGGTCAGTGTCACTACTGGTAGCATGAGGCGATACCTGGACTCTACAGAGGTTGCATAGACAGTCTAACTCCTCCAAGATTGGCAGGTCCACCACTGGCGCCCTGTGCTTTTCACAGATGAGAGCACGTTCACCCTGAGCACATGTGACAGATGTGAAAGGGTCTGGAGAAGCTGTTGGGCATCCTTACGTTCATAACACAATACCCAGTCCATATCAGTATAGATATTCAGCATGATATTTTTCCCCATTGAGATCTGATGTGTTTTCAAAGTGTTCCTTTAATTTTTTTTGAGCAGTTCATATGCGATACCTTTACAGTGCCAGAACACTGGAATAGGCCACAAACTTAGAGGTGCAATGCCGGATTTACCATGCAGTAAACATTTACATTTTACAGCATATGTCCTGCTGTGGAAACCTTGTGTGCAGCACCTTTACAGGAATAGGGAGCATTCATTGAGGTGCAATGCATGATTTACCCTACAGAAAATAATACTGATTTTTAACAAGATTTGGTTCCCCCATATACTTCAGTTGGATTCACCTATTAGTTCAAGTCAAACATTAAACAAAATTCTCCTGGCCCTTTGCAAATTGAACTCAAGCAGATTTGCAAATCACTAATAATGACAGATAGTATTGTAGCAACATCCCCTTAGGAGTTGCCGAAGTAATGGGCCCCCCCATAGTCCTGCACAGCCAGGCAACACGCATTTTCACTTTCACCTGTGTTTTATTAGGGGATTTTAGAACTTGGATGAGGTAAAGGAGTGTACAGGATGCCCAAAAGAACTGAGGACAACTTCTCTGTACAAGTGGTTACAGTACCAGTCTATTTTGGAGAGCTAGCCAGTGTCTCCTATAGTACCACCCCAGACCCCAGATGCTCCTTTATCAGGCTGCCTGGAGGAATCCCTGAGCAGGGGATCCAGTATCTGTCACTTTAAGAAATAAGACACCAGAGTGCTCTATCCCCTGTCTGTCCCAGGGGGTGCAGGTCTATTCACTCAGTCCTTCCCTTGTGTTGCTGGTGAGTTGGTGGCCGCTGCCAGGCTTTTTAGCTGGGCCACCTCCTCTGCCTCACAGGTGGTCCTCTCTCATGGGGCCGGTGAAGTCCCGAACTTTCTTCCTTTCAAGGTCTTCGTCCTGTGGGTAAACCCCTGTCCATCTGAGCCCCCTCACAGTCTCCTGCCTCTAGCCTCACATCCTCTCTACCTTCCACCCGAACTCTCCTCCAACTGAGCAGGGTCAGTTACTCTTAAAAGTTGTCCTGGTCCCTTGCTAATCCTTCTTTTGGGGATTGGCCAGGGTTCTTTAAAAGAACAGACCAGCCACTCCTCAAATCCACCCACTGCTTCTAGACCTTTCTCTAAAGTTCTAGAACAGGGGGAAATCTATAGGGCTGGTCTGCAGAGCCTCTCAGCTCTGACCCAAATTTGACTCTGCTAGATATCTCTGCTCCCAGGTTGATTCTCAGCCCTCCTAGCTGACAACTGAACTAGAGCTCCCCCTAGCTAACTAGGAGGGTGCTACAATATGTAGTGCCCAGGTCTCTAGTGGGTGACTTAGCAAATTCCACAACTTGGGACTACTTCTTATTACCAGCAGACAACTGTGCATTGGATATAAAAGGATTCATCAGGTTAGAGTAGGTGAACAGAGTATACTCACTTAATGTGAGCAGTGGTAGAAGTTTTATAAAAGGTACAAATAGCACCTGAAAGGTTAGTGGTGAACCAATGGTTGGAACGTGACAAGTTACAAAAAATAGGATGTTATTTCAGATATTCAGTATTTAACATTTTGTGTTCTGCAGTATGACTGGTGCTCTTGGATTCCAAATTCTCCTCCCACAATGCGCTGCCCCCCACCTACTAACAAAGGAGAGGTTACAATAGAGTATATCATTGAATGTTTACCAGACAGAGGACGGTCATGCTGGCATCTTGGAGCTGTATGGGCACTGAGTCAGTTTCAGGATAATGAGGTGAGAACATTTATATCTACCTTTTAAATATGTACAGAAGAAGATGCACAGTACCTTTCTATTTACTCACTTACAGAATGTCAGGCAGCTTTGATTATTATTATTATACAGATTATTATACAGGATTTATATAGCGCCAACAGTTTGCTCAGCACTTTACAATATAAACAATACAGCAACAGTACAGTTCAATACAAGAGGGATAGGAGGGCCCTGCTCCTTGGAGCTTACAATCTAGCTTTGATGGCTAGTTGTGGATAACAGAACAAGGAAAGCTGTATCAAGGACTTATGGTCATAATGTTGAACTACCCTGCTGAAAATATTTTGAATACCTTGCATTCTCGTCCTATAGCTTCAGTATTTTCTGGCTCACTGACCTGAAACAAGAATGAAGATGACCAGCTCTGACTTCATTTTGACTTTCCTGATCTACAGTATATGCTTCTTTTGGGTCAATGTATCAGAAAGTATCCTTGTTAGAACAGAAAAACTACAAGTGTTTTAGGGCTCATGCACACGGGGCGTTTGGAAAACTCTTTTGAACGATGGGAACTGACTGCTGGAAAACGTAGGTTAAAAAACGTCAGTTTGCATTTACAAGCGTTTTTAAAAGATAACCTCAGGAGACCTTCCAAAATGCCCAGAATGCACTGAAAAACAGTAAAAAATTAACTATTTCAGACATTTTGAGAGTAATAGAGAGAGCAGAAGCAGAGAGAGCAGTATGTGTTGAGATTACCTGTCTTTTCTGGTTGTATTCACTATGGATCCCATCATGAGCATAATGCAGCACGTTCTACCATTTTTTCCTTCATGCAAAAAGTGGAACTGACTGCGCTGGTGTACCGGGTCCATTTGAATACATGGAAAACGCTTTGCATGCATTTCTGATCATGAAAAAAGGCTCTGGACAGCATCTGGATATGGAACAGTTAAAAAACGCTTCTAAACTCAAATGCTTATAAACGCAGTTAACCATGTTTATAAGCATTTACACGCATTTACATGCATTTGGCGTTTGAAACGCCGGTAAAATCTACTCCTAAACTCAAGTTTAGTGCGTTTAAAAAAAACAACTGTAAACTCAACTGCCTGTAAACGGCTGTAAACAACATAGTGTACATGGACACATAGGAAAACATTATGGAGAGTTCAGGGGCTGCTGAAAAAAACGCTCAACAGCTCGTGAACATGAGTTTAGGAGCTGCAGTGTATATGAGCTCTTAGATAAAGGTCAACAATGGTTGCTTTTGTATGTTTCCAAGTACAAATTTCCTTTAAAATGTGTTTCACTGCTGGTTTACTTGATTTCCTCCTGACATTGTTTTTTTTATCTAATTTTTACTGTGTTACAATGTTTAATAAAAATGTATAAAGCTTCTTTTTCTGGTGTTAAAAAGTGTGACCCAATGTCCAGGCATTTATCACTTGATGGAAGTGGAACTCTAATCTTCACCTTTAAAAAGGATTATAGGGGCATTTTTCAGTAAAGCTGCAGCACAGTGGATTGGTGGTTTGTACTGCTTTCTTGCAGCAAAGTGGTCCCTGGTTTGAATTCTGGCCAGGACACTATCTTCATGGAATTTGCATGTTCTCCCTGTGCTTGCGTGGGTTTCCTCTGGGTACTCCTATTTCCTCCCACACTTCAAAGACCTTCTGGTAGGTGAGTTAGCTACTGCCTAAATTGGCCCTAGTATGTGAGATAGAAAAACTTATGACTGGTACACATAGGCTGACTATCGTCGGTATTGGGTATTGGCCAGTTCAACAGAAAACAACTAAAATTCGGCCAGTTTGTAAAGCAGGCTGTATGAAAGATGCCAGACAAATGGGCACGCTGGAAAACCCGCAGCCGACCAGCATCTGATCAGTGCTTGTAGCCAGTGGCTTAGGTGGATTATTTCTACTAAAATATGCTTTATACAGGTCAATCCTTAATCTGTGTGGATCAGTTTGCCTATCTTTAGTAACCAGATACCTCAAAGTCAAGAGAAAATGTAAATATACCACAAATCTCCCTGGATTAAGGGAAAGTAGTAGCATACTACTATGATCACTCTAGCATTGGGACTGCTTTCTTTCTACACTGTGCCTTGTAGATGTTCTATTATATAATAGCCCTGCAATACTCTACAAAACAGTTCTTTAGGTAGACCTCAGGGTCTTTGGCTTAGAGGTTTCAGTACATAATATGATAGATATTAGTTACACCATTCTGTTTTGGATTACCAGTTCTGGATCCCCCTTCTTTCCTCTTGGCACTTTATTCAGCGCTAATACTATGTTTCTTAATATGGACCAAAAAATCTGGAGATAATTAAAACTGCAAGCCATGCCAACTAGTCATATTCTGCATTTCATTGGAAAGATGGCCAGTAGTAGGTTGGTTAGGTCAAAACCCAGTGTTGGAGTAACCATTGCATAAGTTAATAACATAATTGTGCCAAACTGATAACATCTCAGATAAAACAAAGACGTTTTTTAAAGATTTGTATAAAAAAAATCTTACCGTATTTGCCGGCGTATAAGACGACTGGGCGTATAAGACGACCCCCCTACTTTTCCTGCTAAAATGTAGTGTTTGGGCTATACTCGCCGTATAAGACTACCCCTCTTCCAATGCACACCAGTGGGAGGAATAGTGCCCCATCATTGATGTCAGTGGGAGGAATAGTGCCCCATCATTGATGTCAGTGGGAGGAATAGTGCCCCATCATTGATGTCAGTGGGAGGAATAGTGCCCCATCATTGGTGTCAGTGGGAGGAATAGTGCCCCATCATTGGTATCAGTGGGGGGAATAGTGCCCCATCATTGGTATCAGTGGCAGGAATGGTGCCCCATCATTGGCATCAGTGGGAGGAATAGTGCCCCATCATTGGTATCAGTGGGGGGAATAGGTGCCCCATCATTGGTATCAGTGGCAGGAATAGTGCCCCATCATTGGTGTCAGTGGGAGGAATGGTGTCCCATCATTGGTGTCAGTGAGGGGTGGAATAGTGCCCCATCATTGGTGTCAGTGGGGGGAGGAATAGTGCCCCATCGTTGGTGTCAGTGGGGGGGGGAATAGTGCCCCATCGTTGGTGTCAGTGGGGGGGAGGAATAGTGCCCCATCGTTGGTGTCAGTGGGAGGAATAGTGCCCCATCGTTGGTATCAGTGGGAGGAATAGTGCCCCATCATTGGTATCAGTGACACCAATGATGGGGCACTATTCCTCCCACTGACACTTGCTGACCCTGTTCTAGTACGGTGCTGCTGCAGCCAGCATATGTGGTTGCAGCAGCACCTCTACACAGAGCACTTACCTGCTGCTCCGGCACTCAATTTTCGCGGGGCCGCTCGGCTCCGCCCCCTCGCCGGTGATTGGCCGCCTGTGTGCCTTTCCTGAGCTACAGTTCTGGCGGCCAATCACCGGTGAGGAGGCGGAGCCGCGCAGCCGCACGAACATCCAGTGGCCGAACTGAAGGAGACGCCGCCGCGCTTCCTGGACCGGATCGTCGTGGCACTGGATCCAGGTAAGAGACGTCAGCCCCTGCAAACCCCTGTACTTAATGCCGCAGCCTCCCCTAACATGTGTACCGGCGTATAAGACGACCCCCGACTTTTGAGAAGATTTTCAAGGGTCAAAAAGTCGTCTTATACGCCGGCAAATACGGTATATAACGCCAGATTTTGATATGTAGTTTAAAGATATTGTCAGAATTTAGAGATTTTATCTCAGATGACTCTGAGACACTCGGTTAAGAAGAGGCTGTCCACTTTGCAAAGTAAACATTCAGTTTGCTAAGTATTTGCTCTCTTGGCTTAGTAAAAAGGAAATAAGTTGTGTTCTCTTTAAATATCCAATCACATGTAAAGGAAATTTAAAAAAATAATTTTTACTTGCATATGATTGGATGATTAAAGGTAACAGAGCTTCACCTTATTCACTCAACTAAGTGAGCATTTGCTTTGAAAAGTGATCATACATTATACAAAGTAAAAATGCTGTTTTTTTAAGTAAATCAACCTTAGTGTAAGAGTTCTGAGTTAATAGACTGATAATAATAAAGGTAATGAGGTTATTGAAAAGTGTATAATTAAGTTGTAAAGCAAAGAAAAATAGAAAAGCTATAATTTCTGGGGATATTGTGTGAAGTGTTCTTGCCTCCACCAGTAGTCTACAACTGGAGTGGGTGGAGTAACTGGGTGGAGTGGCTTGAGTAACTATTGTGTGGTTGGAGTGTCTTGAGTAACTATTGTGTGGTTGGAGTGGCTTGAGTAACTATTGTGTGGTTGGAGTGTCTTGAGTAACTATTGTGTGGTTGGAGTGGCTTGAGTAACTATTGTGTGGTTGGAGTGTCTTGAGTAACTATTGTGTGGTTGGAGTGGCTTGAGTAACTATTGTGTGGTTGGAGTGTCTTGAGTAACTATTGTGTGGTTGGAGTGGCTTGAGTAACTATTGTGTGGTTGGAGTGTCTTGAGTAACTATTGTGTGGTTGGAGTGGCTGGAGAAACTATTGTGTGGTTGGAGTGGCTGGAGTAACTATTGTGTGGTTGGAGTGGCTTGAGTAACTATTGTGTGGTTGGAGTGGCTTGAGTAACTATTGTGTGGTTGGAGTGGCTGGAGTAACTGAAAAGGTTGGACTGGGCAGAGTAACTTTATGGAGTGGGCAGAGTAACTGTGTGGAGTGTTTGGAGTGAGTAAAGATAGTAAACATTACACTAACCAATTGATTGATCAAATTTAAAAAGTGCACATGGCAAGCTTGATAGAGTGAGAAATGCATTTCAACTTTTATTTTTCAGCTCACACTCTAGCTTTTGTCACTCTGCTGCCTGCTCACACACCTGGGTTCCTATGGCAACTCACTCTACAGCAAGGGCAGAGAAGAGTTAAAAACAAACTGCTCCAACTTGCTCACTTCACTGGCGGTTGCCATTTTCAACCGGTTGTAGTTTAAAAATTATAAATCCTACACCAAAGAGCTTTATATTGTGAGAATCACAAGACCCAGACCTACATTTTGATGCATAGTATGTGTCTGAAATATTAAAAATAAAAGCACAGTCGCAGTTTAGAAATTGCCCTTCAAATTTGAGGTGGCTAGAGTGGAGTTTCAATGAATGTCAATGGGCGGCATGAGCTACAAACAAATGGTCATATTGTGAAAACTACCAAGACTATGACTTAGCCGTGGCAGCAGGGATAGCTGAACGTTTTGATATAAGATTTGTGTAGGTGGGCTTGAAAATGAGGGAGTGATGGCAGTTTAGAAATCATGTCCTGATTTTTCAGCTCACACTCTAGCTTTTGTCAGCTCCCACTCTAGTTTTGAACATTCCGCCATACATTTCTATGGGACCAATTTCACCACAAAAACGGGGATATTTTTGTGAACCATTCGGCGAAACGTTCCACAAAGGAATAGCACATCAATAGAGAACAATCCGCACGTTTCGATATATTACTGTCTATGTAGTGTAAAAACTGTGGGAGGAGTTAGGGTGGTAAATTTGGCTATAATAACACAGGTCTGCAAAAAAAAATTTTTCAAGAGCCGTTTTGGTTATTCCACGTAATCTTTATGTTTTTTGGTGCGCTGAATCCGAAAATGACCTCCATTTTGTCATAGGACATCATGTTTCCTGACAATTTAGGTAACTATGTTAAATAAGGCAATACCTCAAAATAAATGGAAATAGACTTATAAAATTAAAGTTTTATTACAATTTTTTCATGAAAATCCTTTTTTGAACTGAAATGAGTTCACCTACATCCACTAAACTCAATTCTTCTTCCCTGTGAGGCTCCTCTTGGTGCATTTACGCTTGTGAGTGGCATGTGGAATGTCTCTCTGAAGCATCCAACAGTAGTCTGCCATCATTGTAATGCTCCATTTTCCCTGGTATCTCATTTCCATCTCTTTAATGTCTTGGTGGAATCGTTCACCTTGTTCCTCACTCACAGCTCCCAAATTTTCAGGAAAGTAGTCAAGGTGGAACTGGAGGAAATGCACTTTCAAACTCATCAGGCAACCTAAAGCTTGAAATGCTTTCAGCATTCGTCCAACGATCTTTTTGTAGTGAGGATCTTTGTTATTGCCTAAAAATTTCTGTATGACTTCTTTAAATGCAATCCACCCCTCTTTTTGAGGATCCGTCATGGTATTGACAAACTCTTGATCGACTATAAGCCTTCTAATGTCTGGTCCGACGAACACACCTTTCTTCAATTTTGCCTCCGACAGGCCTGGAAACTTGGTGACCAAGTATTTGAAGCATTCTCCATCTCTTGGAAGTGATTTTACGAATTGCTTCATCAATCCCAATTTTATGTGGAGAGGTGGTAGAAGAACTTTATGGGATGGTACCAAAGTTTCTCGGAGGACATTTTTTTCACCGACTGTTAGCACCCTCGGCTGTCAACTCTTCTTGGTCCAGTGATTTTGTTGGTCTCGACTGTCCCATAGACATAGAAAACAAGGATATTTGGTATCCCACCCACTGGATTCTTCAGGAAAGATTAACCCCTTCTACCATTAGAAGCACAGACTCAGGGCTGAGGCTTACACATACAGCATGCTGCTGAGTATCCCAGTAGTCAGATATGTCACTCAGAGCAGCACTTGTATTCACCCCCTTTGCAGGGGGGGAGGGGCAGAGCTTGTTTACCTGCAAATAACAACAAAGGGCCAGAAGAGAACTAGGGAAATGAGGAAATAGAATTTTTTTTCCCTAAAACTTGCTTAGCTTATGTATATATTGCTGACCATCAGATTTACAGTGCTATATATTTTTTTACATAACTCGGACAACCTCTTTAAGGTTTTTTGGCATTTTATATCTGAAATGCACTTATGTGAATTAATTAATAGTAACTTGGACTTTAAATTTGGTTAAAAACCCATATTATAAAAAAAAATACCAAACATTAAAAATGTTTTATAAATTTGAAGACAATTTTGCATTTTGTGGCAAATCATGACGTCTAGGAGTTTTTTCAATATTTTATTTGTTTTCAGCACACCAAAATACATGGAAATTAGATGAAAATAATTAAACAGCTTTTTAGTCGCAGACCTGTGTAATAAGAATATATATGTGAGATAACAGTAAGTGGTCTTGCCATGCAAGAACACTTAATGAACCTGCATTCACTATGAATAGCCATTATGGCAAGGGTATTACAAAACTGTTATTTGCTAGCACATGGTTAGTTGTTTGAAGTGAATATAGCTTCACCGTATTTACTAAAGCTAATGATCATACGCTTTGCTAAGTGTATAGACATTTCTTATCTATAGTAAAACAACCCCAATATCTTTGACTAGTATTCAGCAAAAATATGTCAGATTTCTTAAATTATAGGTTAGAATTATGATATACTGTATTGAGCTTGATTTACTAAAGACAATTAGGCTCTTCATTTTGCAAGGGAAATTGTACTTTGCAAAGGAATTTTTACTAGAGCTTAGTGAATGTGGTAACATTTCACTTTGTAAATAATACTCAATCACGTGCAAGGAAAAATAAAATAAACAGTATTTTTGCTTGCATGTGATTGGATGATGGAAGTCAGCAGATCTTCACTTTATTCACTAAGCAAAGGGAAAATTCTCCTGCAAAGTGAACAGACTTTTTGCATTTAGTAGAATAAAATAATGTAACTGTTATCCCAGCATTGTCAGAGCTTGTTTCTTCATTTGGCCCCAGGACCCCTCTGGAATATGTTTAATACAATGATGTACTCGTGGGATGATACCCAAAAAGTAGAGGCTATATAGTCAGTCCTGCTATGGCTAGTAATCTCATTGCATGTTGTTTGTCCAGTTATTCCTAGGATTCTACCCTGATGAGCATTTTGTTGAGAAACCAGTAAAGAAAGCAATGGCCAAATTCAGGAAGAACCTTGAAGACATCATCAGTTTCATCCAAGACCGAAACAAGAACAAGAAGTTGCCATATTATTATCTTTCTCCTGACAGGATCCCTAACAGCGTTGCTGTTTGAACTATTTTTGCTTTCACGCATTAAATGAGAACTCCAGACAGTTAACAATCACCAGTAAAGTTACATAATATCAGGCTACGTGCATATGACTTCTCTTTTTCGGTTGTCGGGTGTCGTGATGAATTTGTGTTAGCTTAGATCATCATCTTCTAAAGGAAGTGAGTGGGGAAGGATGCAGTGTTAAACACAACTGTTACATTGTCCTAAGCACATAGAGACAGTGTATTGTTATACAGCCTTTACTTCCTGCTAGAGGCTGAACCTTTCCTAAAAAATAATTTTAATTCTAATTTTAAAAAACAAACAATAAATGGGTAAATAATTGCTCACTTCACATATGTATTACTGACCTTGTGTTTTGCCTGGAGTTCCCCTTTAAGTTTAAGGGTAAATGTCTAAGTATAGGTTCATAATAGTCTTGGGTAAACCTGTCTTCACATGCCATACTTTAATGTCAAGAATGGACTGTAAGTAGAAAACAGCTCTGAATCATCAGATAACAAGTCTGTTGGAGTCATAATAGTCACAATAATACAGTACTTTTACAATAATATTAATATATTGCTGATAGAGGTCTACAATAAACATTTCTATTTTATCATAACTGGAATTGTTGGCACTGGAAAGCACACAGAAGATCAGAGAACCTGTAAATAAAATGTACCAGCGTTTGTCAAATTTCTTGATTGCCAATTTAGGCTTGCTTATTGTTTGTGTCCCATAGTTCATCTATTACTCATTTGAAATATATCATTTTTATAATTTATTATTAAAGCAACCAACAACTCTGTAATTGCAAAAATCAATAGTGTTTTGGCTGATCATTAGTAATTCTTCCCTCACTTGCATCCTTTGCAACTTTAACTCCTCTAACCTGGACTCACGTGCAACACTAGCAGTGACAAGATTACTGTTTGCAACCCACAAAATGGTGGTACTAAGGTGGGTCTCCAATGATGGCCCTATGCAAAGGGAATGGGTCATGGAAGAAAATAAGCTTCCTGCATATATAAAAAATCACATATGAACAGAGAGGTGTACAGCAGATATATCCCCTTATACGTGTAGGTAGCATGAAGGTGCATCTGGTGTTAAAAACCAAGCTTTTACTTCATTATGAGTACACTCCTGAGTCTATAGCCTTAGAGTATGGATCCAGCAAGCTGGTTTTGGTGAGGGAGGGAGGTAACAATAATACTTATACATTTTGTACCGCTGACGGACAACCATTGTATTAGTAGACCTGATAACATACTGTATATGCTTCTGTACTTTGGGAGCTGGTGCTTCATAATGAGTACACTCCTGAGTCTACAGCCCTAGAATATGGATCCAGCAAGATGGTCTTGGTGTGTGTGTGTGGGGGGGCGCTGGCTAACAATAATACTTATACATTTTGTACCGCTGATGGACAACCATTGTATTAGTAGACCTGATAACATACTGTATATGCTTCTGTACTTTACCTACAGATTCATTGTTGTATAATTGTGTGTCTTCTTTTTTTGGCTATGGTAAATTGGAAAACATGTTCTTGAAAAGTAAAATCTGATTTAAAAAGAAAAGTAACCAGCCCCCAAGGCTTTATAGCAGGCATCCTAAAGGGTCTGCTCTTATGTTTACCCACATCCCTGATTAGCAGTTGTAGGGTCATAAAAATCCTATGTAAATACAAAATACAAACTGGATAAATACAAACTCACTGAGAAAGAAAAAATGTCCCCTGTGCCCTAAAACTGGATATGCAGGGCTTATGGGCCAAGCAGAGAAACACATTCAAAATTATTGCCTGCTACAAGCCTGAAGGTTATTTAAGTAAATAACACAGTCAAGCTTTTCATTAATGTTTAAGTTTAATTTTTTTATACTATGCTAGAAAATGTGTAAATCATCCTTAAAATCTGAAACTCCAAAAAAAGGAAGCTCATATACACTACTGCAGCTCATGATATTCTAGGAGAACAGATTGCAAACTGGTAGTGGCTGAAAATGTAGGCTGTTTTAAATCTTGTCTGAAATCAATGATCATAAAGTATAGGTCTCAGCAAATGCATCTTTCTTATTACCTATAATCATTTAAGTTCTATTTCACATTGCCAGGCTTGCACAGAGCTGATAGTACTTGCAGGCTCTGGCTATCTCCATCACCGTACTTTTCTACGCTCACATTTGCAAACAGCACTCCATAGAAAGCAATGATGCTCATACTCCTGTCATCGAACATGCTCAGTAGGGCTGTTACCTTCTATGGAGTACTGCAGAAAAGCATTATGTACGATCCTGGAAAAGTCATCACTGTGACCTGTGTGCACGTTTCAGCCCTGGTCAAGCCTGGGCTGTAAATGGCATGAATTTTCTATGTACAAGTGAAGAGGAGGGTCAGCGGCAGTGGCGGACTGACAACTCATGGGGCCCCCGGGCAATAGGGGATCATGGGGCCCCTGTGTCCTCGCCGAGCAAAGGACCTCTCCTACTGACTGAATCCATTACTGACCGCGTGGAAGGTTTACAGACTGGCTTCTGCTGCACAATCCTACCATTTTGTAGCTGTAAAATCTGGGAGTCTCAGCCTCTAGGTGCATGTCCCAAAATGCTGCCAGGAAGAATGGGTCTTCCCCTTTAATGTGTCATGGAGCACCGATCCTCTCACTGCTGCACTGCAACAATACCACCAAGCTTGTTGCTTGCCAATGCATTGTTGCAAATGATCAGAAGGAAACCCAAGGGAGCTGTCTTAGTCATCAGTGTGCTGTGTGAAATATATGACTTTTCAAGCTCCTGTTATATCACTACCACATGATGCAGAGTTTGGCCGAATATGGAATGTAGGACCTAAGCATTTTCCTGAAATGTATATTGTCAGCCTCTGATGCCATTATAATGAAGTCTTCCAATTGGAGTTAATTCATCTATTGTACCAGCAGCTGGTTCCCCTTATTGTGCAATGCAGTAACTGATACTAGCAAAATATAAGGTAAATGGCCTTATCTGTAAGACAGGCCTGTGTTAAAATTCTGCTTGCTTTGAAGAATTAATTTTTTTTGTAAGTAGACATGTCAAGTAACATAAGATACTCTATTAAAACTCATTGAGTTTTAATAGAGGTATACACTAAATTACAGCATAATATAGGTGTCATACTAACTTGCCATGAGAAAGTGAGCTGCAAACCTTTAGTTATAGTCATGACCAAAGCAACTACACTAAACTCCATGTGACTATTCATTGCAAATCAACAGTATATGATGCATTTTGGGATATGTCCTTTGCTTCTCTAAAGTAGAGTGATCCTGCAATTGTGCTGATTTTATACAGATATAAACACATTAGAGTCTTGTTCAAAATACATACATTGCAATCTGCAAGTATATGCATTTTTATATAATTTTGATGAAATTTAAAAGATCCAATTTAATTGACTTGAAAAGAAGACAAAATCCTGCATGCACTGCTTTCATGTATGAGTAATGATAGCCCTGTAACATGAACTAATCTCTTTGAAATAAATGTGATTTAAAGATAAAATGAATGTAAATGTACTAAAACAAATATTTAATGATACCAGTAATTATACCAGTATTTATATATACTTTGTTTTTCAAATAGAGGTTGTGTGATGACCTCCTGAGCATGAGCAAAGGCTAATTATTCCTATGCTCTGCACTTTGTTTTTAATTACACATATAGCAGTCCCTAGCTGATCTCAATAAAATAACTCAATTATGCCCTAGGATTTAGTAACATTGATGTAAGTACACCATTCAAACAGTAAACTGAAAAACAAGGATGTCATGTATATAACTATTTTAAATTTGTCTTTAGTAGTAAGCAAGTATTCTCATAACAAATAAAGAAAATATTTTGTGAAGTTTAATGTGTACTGTCTATAAATTCATTATTTGTACACCAAAACACTTACCAAATCTTCTGTGCACAGCAGGGGTGGACTGACAACTCTTGGGGCCCCCGGGCAATAGGGGATCATGGGGCCCCTGTGTCCTTGCCCAAACTCAAAAAAGCCTATGAAAAAGGTACCAGGGGCATCTCATGGGGCCCCCTACTGAGCTAGGGCCCTCGGGCAGTGCCCGCATTTCCAAATGGTCAGTCCGCCCCTGCCATCCGCTTGATCTAGATGGATCAGGATAACTCACCGTATTCTATACATGCAATTTATTTGTATGATACCACCTTTTATGAATCTTGTAGTCTTCACCATTGTGGACACAGTTGGTGATCTAGGGTCGGTCTCCTACTGTCCCGGTGTTAGAGTATTATCCAGAAACTAAGTCTCAATGTGTTATTAGCTTTTCACACATTGCAACCTTGTTTGCGATGAATAAATAATCATTTCTAAATTACAATTTCAGATACAAGTCTCGTTTTGCTGTCGGATTAACCGCTTGTGCCATGGAGGGGGCTTTACCCATTGCATGCGACTGGCTTTTTGTTAGTATAGGCCAGTGGTCGGCAAGCCGCGGCTCGCGAGCCACATGCGGCTCTTTACAAGCTTAAATGCGGCTCTTCTGTGTGCCCCCTCACCTCCCCTCCCCTCCCCTCCCTCCTCTCGGACGGCCGCCCGCTCCCCTCCCTCCTCTCGGGCGGCCGCCCCAAAAGTCAGGACTCTGCAGCTGTCAGGATGTAGGCGGGGCAGCCAGGATGTAGGCGGGGCAGCGTGACGAACTCCTCTCCTCTCACAGTCCGCCCTGAAGACCAGAACGGCGCGGGAAGCACGGCGAGAGGAACGCGCGGAGCAAAGGTAAGTGAATTGACACAGGGGGGACTTACTATATGGGGGATGAATTACTATATGGGGGACTTACTATATGGGGGGACTTACTATATGGGGGGGGACTTACTATATGGGGGATGAATTACTATATGGGGGACTTACTATACCGGGGGGGGGGGACTTACTATATGGGGGGGGACTTACTATATGGGGGACTTACTATATGGGGGATGAATTACTATATGGGGGATGAATTACTATATGGGAGATG